AATCCTTTTTATAGGGCTTTTAATTAAGGCTAATTGATGTATTCATGGCAGACAGCCAGATACAGAGTTGGTGCACACCCATAGTCTCAGACTGTGGGCCAAGCAAGCTTACAACTCCAAGCAGAAAACAGTGAAGAAATGTATTTATCTATTTTATAGAAAACAGATAAAAAGGTTTGTGAGAATATTGCCCCAGATTCCTGTTTCCACTTGCCATGCACCAGGAAGCTGATTAACATAGCATAATACAATAAATAAATACAATTTATTCATCATGGCCTGGTCAAGCCCTTTTTGAATGCTTCTACCATTGGAGTATTCAAAATCAATATATGCCTTCTTGTCCCACTGTGCACTACAAGGTCAATTTTGTGTCTGACTAAACACACCCTCAGTAAGGATGATTTTAGTTTGTTTGTCATTTGTTAGATATCACAGAGCTGATCTTTGCACAATATTCTTTATGTCAGTAGGAACATTCACCACTTTTCTGCCAGAAATAATGTGGACTTCTTGTCTATTTTAGCTCCATTCGGTACCTTGTTTTAAGAATGTATTTCATTTGGAAATGCACTATAACATATTAAACCAAATAAAACACGTAGATATTGTGTTATCCATTTGTACCAAAAAAATAAAGGGAAAGTTATAAAAAATATTCCCAGATGTGGAAATCTAGATAGATCAAAGTTCTCCTCCCTGTGGGCTCCACGGGAAAGCACCACACAGGCATGTGTGAAGAGCTGGGGCCATCCAGGAAAAGTGACCGCGTCAACTTTTCTATTTCCTTCCTTAAATTCCCTGAAGGGAATCAGAGCAGATGAGAAGTGACAAGAAAAATGCAAACTACTGCTGTTCAGTGCTCACAGCTCTCACTGCAGCTCAGGACAGGAGAGCCACACTGCCCTGGCTGCCACGAAGAGATGGATTTCTCCAAAGGAATCCCACTTCTCAAACCCTCTCTAACAAGTTTGTTAGAGCATTATAGGTCCTACAGATATGAAGATATGTGTTAACACAGGAGCTTCTGGTACAAAAGGAAAAAAAAAAAGGAACTGAAGAAGAGCTTTTAGATACAGCCCATTAAAAGCAACATTAACAAAACCCATTCAAAGCCTCTTTTGTAGGAAAATTGTATTTGAACACTTCTTTTAACAAACAGGTATCACTTTGATGCCACCTCACTTTAGAAAAAAATATTTATTTTTAAGAAACAATCTGTCCAGTTCCAACATCCAAAAAGATAGGCTTGGGTTTTCTAAATGCTCAAAATCCAAGTAAAAAAGCGCCAATTCCTTATAATGTATCCCTCTATGTCCTCACTCCCAAATTTGGCTTTTTTGTTTTCCCATCCAGTTAAGGGCATCTTTTCCCCCAAAAGGCCTCCAAGCTATTTCATGAGCACAGCATCTGTTTTCTGACCCATGCAAACGATGACGTCTGTAGAACTGTCTCAGTTACTTCCAGAACGGCTGCTCTCAGCTTGCAAATAGGACAATGTTATTTCTGCAGCTTCCAGTTCTCTAAAATTGTCCTGGGATCCAAAATACATATTAAGGTCCAATATGATTATCAGATTCAACCTTCAGTTCACACCTGTACAACAGGGTTACTTTCCATGTGGTGGTAAATGAAGACTGAACTTGAGTCTAGCAATAAACTCAAACTTTGGTGCCAGCAGCATCAAGTCCCTACAGTTGTTCTACTTCTGCAGAACAGGGAGAAAAAATGGGCAAAGCTTAAGTTTGTCACTTCCAGAGTCAGCTCTGCTCTAACCCCTGTCCCCTGACAAAGACAGAAAAATGGGAAAAAAAGGATTTACAAATACAGACTCAGAAGAACTGAATCTTCACTACAACAATATTTTTTTTTCAGTTATTATCCTGAAGTGCTGTTCTACCTTGTATATGCAACATTACACACCAAAAAAAATGCTATTAAAAGTACTCTAGTTCATTTGCTTTGGAAAGTGTTTACTTTTCTGTACACATTTTATTTCTATTCCGAAGTCCAGAAAGATAAAATCCACTCGTGTGCAGGTAAAATGCTTTGAACACACAAAGCACAAGGTAAGTGCTAAGGATGCTGTTACCAGCACCTGGCAGGAACATCTGTACAGGAATACAGCTCCTAAAGGAAAGGAGAGCATGCAGCCAAGAGCTCCCCCCGCGCGGTGTGTAGCTGCTTGAGCACTGGCTTGGGTGGAAGTGACACCTTGGTGTCCTTATTGCACTTAATGACTACAGGTGGTTGCTTTCAGTCAAGCCTGAGCTACAGGAGTATGACTCATGCTTCTCTAAGGGCAAAGGAATGTCCCAGTCGGCAGCACACTCATCGCATCATGCACAACCGCGAGGGGCCGGGAAAGGCGAACCGGGAACGACTCCACGAAACAACACGTAATGCTCCCGTCATGAATTCAGGAGGCGAAGTCCTTCAGAATTGTACAAGCCAAATTTTCAGAGCAAATCCACAAACTGGGCACCCGGCTGCCCACCCTTCCATCACACAGAGCCTGGGAGAGCCCACCCACAGGCTGCATTGACTGTGTCTGCAGGACACCCATCGTGCTACTGCCTCCTACAAGGTACAAGCTGGTTCCACTGAACTTGCCACGGATAATATCGGAATATCAGAGTCAAAGCAGCATTAGGAATGGACCTGGAAACACCATATTTGTTTCATGAACTTGGTATTTTACACTATTTAGCCACTACACATTTTAACCACTCAAGTTGCACTTGAACTGTAACAGACATTCTGGGCCCGCCCAAATAATTTTCAGATTAATCCTGTTAACACATTCTCTCACTGTAAAGTGGCACAAAATACACCTGACTTGCAAGATAATCCTAAACAGAGATCCCTGTGCATGCCATGCAGTTCTACCTAGAATTAATATCAGTTACAGAGAAAGAAAAGAAGTCTGTCACAAAGGCAGAGGAATGCCATTAAGGCTAAAGCTTTCTAAAAAAGTCACCCCCCATTATCCTGCTGGCTCTTTTGCAGCATCTCTTCATGGCAGATTCATGCATTCAAGGAACTTTACCAAAACCTGGTCCCTAGCAGCCTGTGTGCCTCACCTATTCACTAGGCAGCTCTGGGCAGTCACACTGTGTCTGTCCTGACCAGCAAACCAAGTCAGGCAAGAACATTCAATACTTCAAAGCTTGGCACTTAAACTGTACCCACAATGTCTGTGCAGACTCCAGCAGCCTGCAGCAATCATGTAACTCCCTAAGCCTATAACCCCCCCCATTATTTCAGAGTCCCAGGGTGGGATTTATTGTAGGACATGGAAGGTCCTGCTGTTCTGCAGGTGCAGATTGTTCTTGCAGTCCAAAGCACGGCTGCAGAGTTGTGGAACTGCACTTGTGTCAGAACAGCAGCTGCAAAATACCACTGAAAATTTTGACAGCAGCCACCGCAGCTGTGGAGAACTATAATGATCGGGCGGTCTGACCACCGGGCTTTGGGAAGAGCTTTCCCTTTCTGTGGCTTTTTTTATACTTCCCTCTTGTTTTCTTTATTTTTTTTTAAACTGTTTTGTTTTTGGGGTTTTTTTTTGAGTGTCTATAATTTCCTAAAGAAAGGGGTAGAAACAGGACAGAAAAGAAAGCAAATATGAAAGACTACCATCACCCCAAAAGCCTCCGTAAGTTGACACAACAGAAGCAATGACTTCTTTGGCTTTCTTAAGAGCTTTTTGAGGTTTAGGGGTTTTGGTCTCATAGCTGAAGATACGTTCACCCTAAGATGCAGGTTCCTAATTGCCACTATTGCAAATTATTTGTTTGGGTTTTGGGGTTTTTGTTAGTTTTTCAGGAAGCGCTCTACTTTAGTTTAGTTTTCTAATGTTAAGTAATGGATCTAATATTAGTTTGTGGTAAGGATGCCCACTAACTATAAACATACATTTGATATACCTGATTCATAGTGATGCCTTGTGGTACATATGTGTTTTACTCAAGGCACTTTTGAAAACATGGGATCTTGATGCAAGAGGTCATTTAAATTGGAGGCAGGGGGAATCCTTCTCTGAAGAAGCCATTGTGCTCTGCTGGGCTGACCTCAAGCTGTACCAGGCAACAACTCTGAAGCTGCAATGGCAGTTTCTGCTATGCATTGCATATACCTGGATTCAAACCAGTGCAAATGGAGAGGCAAAAAACCCAACCACTCTCAGGCGCAGACACAAGCAGAGTCCAAAATCTCAGCTCGAAACTGGAGATCAAACAAGATCCAGTGCAAAGCCTGCCCTGTTGCAGCCCTGCTAAGCCAGCAACACTGCATGGAGAGTAATGCTCCAGCCTAGGAGATGGAAATGGTATCTGAACGTGATCCAAGATTGGAAGATGGGAGTCAGCTCAGAGGTGGGTCAGAGCCTCTGACACAGACCTAAGGGAACCAGTAACTATGGCGACTGGTTGGGTGGGCACTGCAAGCCTGCTCTTGAAGTGTCCCCTCCTACTGAAGTGTCCCCTCCTCCTGCACTGAAACCTTCCATGAGTCCAAGGTAAGAGCAGCAGGCAGCACCCTAGGGAGGACTCCATCTCCCCTACACACCCACCACTCTCCAACCCACACATCATCATCTAGGTGCCTTAGACTAAAGGGAATTTCACCCTGAATGGTCGTTTTCTCTCTTTCTAAATGCAGTTGCAGACTGATAAACGACCTCAGGAAAGAGGGTGGAAGGGGATTAACTTCAGCCTTTTAACTTCGGGCTTTCAAACCTGCTCACAAGACAATGAACTTCGATTGTTCTCTCCCTTGCTCAGACATCATGCAAAGTCTTTCTGCCAAGGGCAATGGGGGCGACAGTGGGAGAGTAATCTCAACCCTACAAAAATGGGACATGCTAATGAAGATACTGACAGAACCGGACACCATCACTGAGTGCTGCAAAGAGAATTTACATAATGTTACTCTAACAGTTCAATAAAAATGGCATCAGTAAAAGGAGGCTTTCACGAAAGAAGTTACCCCCAAACACTCAGTGCAACTGAGTTTCTGTTAAGTTTCATTTTGTTACATAAATTGCTATTATTATTATTATTTCTTACTTACGATGTTAACAGAGCAGGAGGATACTTGAAATAAAAGGCTGTGCATGCACAATACCCACACAAATAAATTCCAGTGATCCACCCCAGCACCAGGCACGGTGCCCTTCCCTGCCCACTGAGCTGAGCCCTCCCTGTAGGAGGAGTAGGGGAATTCATCACCAAATATACAGTATATTGTCATGGAATGATACCAGGAAACAATACTAACAGGAGTCTGAACGTGTCCTTCACGTCATATTAATCTACTGTTTAACTCGGCAGAAAAGACAGTGAGGAAATAAAAGCTCAATTCACCCAGCCTGAGATCAAAACTGTCATGGCAATATTGGCAGGTTAGACCCTGATTCTTTAAATAGTACATTGCCTTTGTTAAACAAAAGTCATTCTTTTATTACATAATAGAGATTATAAATAAAGGTAAAGTGTGCATGCAGTCAACTGCATATTATACAAGCAATATCTATGTTAATAATTGCTTTCTTTGGCAGGCCAGAATCCAGCTGGACATGCAATATTTACATATCAAAATCCTTGGTGTGTTCAAGTCATATTGGATGCAAGTGAAAATATATATGTATATATATTTACCGTATACACACACATATATATATATGTATAAAGGTATATATACAGCTCTGCATATATACTGTATACATATATACACATAGGTATATGCTAAAAGTGGATTTCATCTTTTTCTGATTCAGGTGATGCAGGCCTTGAAACACTAAAAATATCCTGACAGGATATCTGGGGGGGTAGTTGGGGTGATAAATGAGACTTGGGGGAAGAGATCTGGGATACGTTCTTTTCAGACAATAATTTTAAAATTTCTGCCACCTGCTTCTCAAGGGCAGCCATCCTACTGCTTAGCAGCTGGATATCTTCTTTGAGTTCGTGCTTGACTTCCTGCAGCGTGGTTTGTAAGGCCTGCTCAGGAATGGGGTAGAAAGGACACCTGGCATCCGCCTGAATGGGGCTGTGCTCCAGGGGGCTGCGAGTCTCACCAGCTTTATCCAAGCGAAGGTCACTTTTTGTTATTCCACTGTCACAAGAGTCTGTTTTCCTCAGTGGGTTTTTATTTACACCGTTCTCCGAGTCATTGGACTTGGGGTCGTCGGACAGCAACCCCATGGACTCGGCCTTTGTGACGTTGTTCCAGTCCTCCTTCTTCTCCTCGTGGGCCCCCATCGTGTTCTTCAGTCGAAGCCACCCTTTCCCGTTCCCGTTTTTCATCCGCATGGGACTGTTCACTTTGAGACATTTTTGGTCCCCATTTCCGTTTGGCTTGAGCTCCATCGCATCCCGGTTGTTCTGCTTCACGGCCTCACTGGTTTTCATGTAGGCCAGGGTGGTCTGGATGGGGGTGATCTGAGACACGGTGACCACGCTGGTGCCCGTGATGGAGGCCCCGTTCTGCACGCTCCGGCTTTCCACCTGAAGCTGGTTCCTTTCCGGGTCGACGTGGGTTGAGCCTTGATTGCGCATCTCCTTCTGCTGTTTGAATTTCTGGAAGAGTTTCCGCACAGGGTGGTCCACAGGGATGCTCAGTGTCACCTCGTTCTTCTGGCGCAGGCGCTCCTCTTCTTCCTTCTTGACATCGCTGATCTTCCGGAAGATGATCTGTGGAGAATAAATCCACAACAGAGTCAGTATCCAAAGGACATCACATGTGGCAAATATTAATGTGAAATGGGGAAACAGTATTGAGAACAGCCATTTCTATCTTAATTCTTAATTTTGATCTTCCTTTCTATCTTAACTTTTTGTAGTGAATTCGAATGGAGCTGATGAAGACATCGTAACCTCAGATGTATGCCACAGCACATATAGGTTACACATATACACACACACTTTCTTAAAAGTATAGACTAAAAGTGGATTTAATCTTTTTTCTTGATGTAGAAGATAGAGCCTTGAAGAACTAAAAATACCCTGACACCAACAGAATGAAAGAAACTGAATAAAGAAAAGAAAGCAAGAAAGCGAGAACCCAAATACTGTGATCCCTACCCACCCATTACTCACACTCACAGGTGCTCTGTCACTATCATTAGTACAATCGAAAGGAAACAGTAATTCAGTGGAGACTACACAGCTGTAAGATTAATTCAATGTGCATAGCCTTCCAGAGACTGGAAAATCCAAATGTGCTCAATACTTTTTAGCTTTGCTTATTGTTAGCTTTGCAGGAGTGGCTGGAGGGTGTAATTAGGTTCACCATGGGCTATGTGTGTGGCTTCACACACTACACAAGTGTTTCCTAGAGAGTTTGTATGCCTAGTATGTGCAGGTGTACTGGGAGCACCATGGAGAAGCAGCATAAAACCCAGCAATATCCACCAGTTCATAATGCCATGCCATCTAATGCTGCAGTTATTTCACCCTGCAGCATGTCTCAGGCTTCTACAGAAAAATGAATTTCAGCCTCGAGCTGGGAAAGGATCAACAGAGTAAAAACCTTTCTGTTGATTTTTCTGTGTGTTATTCGTATGATTTTTTTATTTAGGTTCACCCAGTTTTCTTGAATGTGGGACTGAGGCAGGATAGGGAAAATCTGGTTCTCTGATTCACAATTCTAAAGCGAAAAGCAGCATGTGATTAAATGTAAATATGGACTGCATTCTTACTTCTGTGGTAAGAAAAGGAAAATACACAAACGAAACCCCGTGACAGTCAGCTGTAGTTTTGAAAGATCCATTTGAGTATCCATATTTCAGTATCTATTTACTTTCAAGTCTCATATCTTCAGAAGTCAGCAGAGAAGTACCACGATGGCTACAGATCCTTCCCCGCATGAATCTGGGATGAGCTGGACTTCAAAGCTTCGTTAGAGAGCTTTCAAATGCAGTGAATATATCCTTGCATGCTGCTGATAGATGCAGCTGCTTATAGTAATTTGGTTAACATGTTCATTAGAAGGCTAGTTAAAAAAATATAAACAAAACCAAGGGAGAAACATAGAAGCTACTTTCATCTGACTCCTCTGACCTAGATGCATGGACACCTAACCTCTTCTGGAGGCTCCCCTTCATTAGTGGCTGCCCTCATGGAGCTTCTCTCTCTTTCTCTAAGATAAGCCACTGGAGACAACAAATAAATGCAAGAGAAGTTGCCCTTGATTCAAAATTGAGTAATTACATTTAATTGAAGCCACGCTCCCTAAATGCAGATTTGGAAGGTGGGTTGTGTGTGATGTTTGTGCTTCTCTTTCCCTGAAGGGCAGCGCAGCACCTCTGGCAGAAGATTGCAATAGTGAAAGCAACCAGCTGCAAGGATGTGTCCCTAAGTTGTGCCTCAGGGGAGAAGGCTGGTTCCTCCACTGGTGTCCCTCTTTGCCTGTGCTGCTCTGCCTTGTGCTGTGTCAGGCCAGAGGGGCTGGGTTCCTGAAAAAAACCTGCAATTGGGAAAAATCCTGTACCCAGTGTTTTACAAGGGCATGTAGTGACAGGACAAGGGGGAATGGCTTTAAAATGAAAGAGAGTAGTTTAGTTTGGATGTTAGGAAGAAATTATTAACTGTGAGGGTGGTGAGGCCCTGGAACAGATTGCCTAGTAAAGTTGTGGATGCCCCATCCCTGGAAGTGTTCAAGGCCACGCTGGATGCAGCTCTGAGCAAGCTGTTCTAGTGGAAGATATACCTGCCCACGTCAGGGGGCTGGAACCAAATGATCTTTAAGGTCCCTCCCAACTCAAACCATTCTATGTTTCTATGATTCCCCTGCTTTCTGGCCACAAGCCTATTTCACAGCTTGAGCACCCTCCTCTCCCGCAGCCAGTCTGCCTGGCAGGTGGTGGCTGGAGGCAGCCGGGGATGCTGGAATGCAGGCAGCTGCCTGCAGCCCGGCAGGGGCTGGCAGCATTCCCCTGTCCAGTGCAGCACTGGATGTGCCACCGGGAAAGGCACGAGGTAACTTTGACAACTTCTGTCCTGCTGAATGTTTATGAAGACCAGAATGACAACAACAAAGAACACAGCACCAGTTTTTGATTCCTCTCCAAAAGCTTGCACTTCACCGTAAACTACCCTCACCTCCCTTTTTTCCCCAGACCAATCTTTCTTTTCTCCCTTTTCTAGTCTCAGTTCAAAACTTCCCCAGGCAGAGGTCATCTCCCTGCACAGAATATAATTACCCATGACTGCTGCTGTGCCTTCTGCAGAAGAAAAACCAAGACTGCATTAATTTCACACCACCTGTACCTCATACTCCTGAAGTGGGTCCTAATGAAAGCCAGGAAATGCCTCCAGGGTTTTTTTGCCCCAGAACAACTTGGCCAGATGACCACTTGGAGAAGCTGAGCCCAGTGCCACAGGAGTCTGAGCCTGAGTGCTGCCATGACTCAGCACAGAGCTAATGCTTTGGAGAAAACCAAACGTGTTCCTGCTGCAGGGATGGGCAGCCAAGGTGATGAACACCATCACTGCTAAGCGAGCGAGACCAAGGGCCCACTAAACACTCACAGTTGGGGGCTTTATGCCTCCTTTATGAGCATGCAGTGGAGTAGACACACACTCAAAGTCCTGCTGTCACCTCCCCAGGAGATGTTCCTTCAGCTTCTTGCAGGACACAGGCTGGAGCCTGGCAGAGCTCTTTAATAAATTATTTCCTCTTTCTCCTCTTGGGACAGGAAGTGCTACACCTTGGAATGACTATGGGCAGCTCCTCTGAAGGAACGAGCCTGCTGCACTCTGAATAACCTCAGAAAATACCCAGGGACTCAGAAATTTGGGAGTTAGCTGAAAGTCAAGGATTCAGGAGTGATCTACCTTGGTGGAGCCCTATTTCCAATGGAGCAAATACTGATGCACAGCCCTGGGCCTACTCTCCCCTTGGCCTTCTCATGTAGGCTGTATGTATTTATGGCTGTTTGCTGTTTTCTTTTTCTAACCAGGCAGGCCCTCATATCCCAGCTGACACTGTGAGATGATGGCCCTTTGGATGGAGACTGGGGTCTTGGTCCTCATTCACCCACTGAACTGCTCTGCCATCATGAGGAAATCATTTCATCCCATGGAGACTTTCCCCTCTTCAGGACATCCATCCACAACCAAGGAAGCTGTACACCTAGCACAGCAAGGATCTAGTTTTGGTCAGGAGTACTTGATGTCAGTATATGTACAAATAAAATAAAAGAAAGATTTTCTTATACAGACAAAGAACTGAGGAAAGAAAAAAAAAGAGATGTGAATTCTAGCACTAAAAGACCAATAGCTATTTTTCATTACCATTTTTTTCCATATTAGGAGTTTTTTCATGTGGTTGGATTTTATCCACTTCCACAAATGTTTAAACTAAGCCAGAATAGTTAAAATGTGTTTACATTTACAAATGTTTACATGGAGACAATTCTATTAATGTCCAATAACTATTACCAGATATTTTTCTTCATAAATTAGAACAGAAAAACACCTCATGCAATCTGACATTCCTCAGCAAATTGGGAGAGGCTTATTTTGGAACCTTAAATTTGTCTCTGACCCTTTTCAGAGAGGTTACACATAGGCCTGTCCAAATGTATGTCCCAGGAACAGACACAAACTTCAAACAAGTTAATCAGAAGAAACAGAATTAACTGTGTGTATAGCACACCTCAGGGAGTAAAGAGCCGTACTCCTGTCTCACACCAAGTTCTAAATCCATTAATGTGACAGAGATTAAGAGTAGGACTTCATTCTTTATGGATGGGATTGTGAAAGACTGTTCCATGTAACACAAATCCTGTCCCACGGGATGTTTTTCCTGCCTTTAATGTATTTATTTTGTGAAGGAGGAGCAACAGAGGTGACGTTAATTATTGACCTTGCAAAGAGAAAGCAACAGTTAACTGATAGCCAGCCATGGGGGCTGAAATATTTGGGAGACAACAGCAACTTGAGATTCTCCATTTGATTTGAACCTCAACCTCCTTTCCCTCCCCTCCACACCAAGAGGAGTAACTCGTTACTGTGAACTCAATCCTTTGCAAAGTCAGACCTTACCACAGGTGCTGGCAATGGATATGTTACTGCTGGCTCCTGTGAGGTGCCAGCTTGTATAACTGGACCCAAAGCCAAATGCAGATGAGGACAGCAGCAATGAGAAGTCAGGGAGTCAGCTCAAGGCTGAGACACCCACAGGTTCTCCCATCTACCGCTGAATTAATCAGTAAAGCTGTGGCCTTTCCAGATACTTTGAAATTCATCCCTTGTCTGCTGTCTTTTTTTGTACCAGCACGGCTAAAACCATTCCTCCTTGACCTTGCTCCATACACAAAGATCCCTTAATAAGTGACTCCAATGAAGGTACGTGAATGGATTAAAGAACTGGTATAAGTCTTGAAGAACTACAGTAAGTTTCTAAAAAGTAGGAAATATTTGACCAGAGATCATCCGTTCCTGTCCCTGAACATCCCATGCTGTTGTTAGTGGCATTCAATACGTGCCTGCTCCTCAACACAGAAATCCAGATAAATGGAGAGTGATGTAGCAAAAGGGTACACAGTTGTCATGGTGATGGAGGCAGTGGGTGTGCATGGACTGAGAGAGAGGGAAAGCCACACAAACCCATCAATGCAAAGATTTCCACAGCGACTAATATACTCTGAGTGCCCAAGCTGTGGCATCCTACAAATCTGGTTGATGGG